TACATCTTTTAAGAAGCTTATGAAGTCTGTGGTTATTAGAAAGCGTTTGCAGTTAAGCAGGTCAGTTTAAAATGCGTGGGAATTTTCATTGCAGTGGATTGTTACACAGAAGATTAGTTTTCTTTAATACACTTCTGATGTACAGTAATTCCGAGATTGGATTTGAGATTTTCTTGACGGTAACAGTGAAGAATACTGTCCCCTGGGATGTAACTTGATGTAGTCTGGTGGAAGTTTACCGATTTTTGCAGGATTGTTCTGCCTGTGTCCTGAAGGTTGAAGCTGAGTAAGCCATCCAAGTAACTAGCAAGCAGACCTGAAGATGGAGGCAGTATGTGCCTCCAGAATGTTAGTAAACTTCTACCAGACTGCAACAGCTTCACATTCCAGGAAGTTGTACTGTTAAAGAATCCCAAAGAGCTTTCATAGAGATTTAAATTTTGTGATCATGCGATTCCTGGGAGTCAGTATAGCAACAGGCTATGGGCTGGACAGATAGGGTTCAATTCCCAGCAGAGGCAAGAGATTTTTCTGTGCTGCACAGCATCCAGACCAGCTCTGGGACCCACCCAGCCTCCTATCCAGTGGGTACTGGGGGCTGTTTTCCAAGGGATAATTTGACTGGGGCATGAAGCTGATTACTTATGTCCAGGTGCTGAGGTGAAGAATAGTGGAGCTATACCTCCTGTACCCCAAACGTTTTCATGGTATGGTGGTTAATTAATTAAGTACGGGGACAACTTTATCTTTACTTAACATGATTCTTAATGCAATTTGAATTTGACAGGTTGGTTCCACACTTAGGACTACATCATTTGTTGTCAAAGGAGCACGCGCTAGTGTAGTTCTTTGATGCACTATGCTACAAGCTGGAAGGTAACAGGTTCAATTCCAGATGAGGTTATTGGATTTTTCAATTGACCTAATCCTTCCAGCTGTGCTCTGGCCCTGGGGTCATCTTAGCTTCTAAGAGAAATGAGTGCCAGGAATCTTCCTAGGGATAAAGGGTGGCTGGCCGGTGCATAAGGCTGACAACCTCACCACCACCTATGAGCTGATTGTCTGGAAAATGTGGGAGCCTCGATGTCTCTCAATCCTATGGGTGCCCCCAGCCTGTTACAGGAATAGCTTTACTTAACCTTACTGCAAGCGGCCTCCATAGTGTAGGGGTAACATTCCCACCTCATGACTCAAGGTACGCGGGTTCAAACCTGGCAGAGGTCGTGGAATTTTTAAGGGCGGAAAAATTCAGGGAACAAGTCCTCCGGGAGGGACTTTAAGCCGTGGGTCCCCTGTCGTAGATTTACGGCACGTAAAAGATCCTCATGTCTCTAGGAGACCTCTAAGCAAAATTAGGCAAGTTTCCCGCCCAAGTAGTTCCCAGTGCCTCTGGTAGATGGGGGAAGCATCGGGTACTGAGGGCTGACCTCGTTGGCTGAACGGGGCTGATAGCACGCACCAGTACCGGTAGGGTATGGCGACTGGTAGAATATCAAAGGGGGACGTACAATAGACTATTAGTCACGGTGCATGGGGAAACCCACCCCCTCCAATAATAATAAATAATAACCTTACTGCCATCCATGGGCTGATTATCTAGAAAATGTGGGAACCTTGACATCTCACAACCCTTTGGGCCTCCACAGCCTGTTACAGGGATAGCTTTACGTAACCTCACTGTCATCTGTGAGCTGACTGTGGGAGCCTTGACATCTCACAATCATATGGGTGTCCGCAGCCTGTTATGGGATAGCTTTACCTTTTTATGTTTTATATATTCTTGAAGCATTAGCAGAATGACACCAACATTTTTTTTTTTTTCCAGTATTCAGTTCTTTCATTTTACATGGGGCGTTGTGGCTGTTATGTAGCCTAAAAGACAGGAAAGGACAGACAGGATTTGAACGCAGATTCAGGGATACAATTTTAGTCATCAGAATTACTTTGTACAGTTGGGACTTTGATGGTGTTTGTAGGTGTGGGTGATATCTGACATTTAGAAAAGACTATACAACATTTTGCTCATTAATGCTGCTACTCAAATTGAGTTCATTTATCTGTTTTTACTAACACTGAGTTGTAGTGTTGTGTATCTTCTTTAAGATGGCAGTGAAAGCAGTTTATAACGTGAAGGCTTTAAATTATGTTTTGATGATGATGGTGGTGGTGGTGATGATACCAGTAGAAATAACAGGCTAAACCTGTGTGGGAAATCATAACTTGTGTTGCTTGCACTCGTAACCACCCATATATGCTGCCTGTTTACCAGACACGAAAATGCTGTACAGAATGGTACATTTAAAAAGTAAATTAGAAATAAAATACAAGAAGAATCACAGAAAGACAATGCTATGGTAATATGGAAGGTAGAAAACAGATTGCATGGGATATCATTACATCTGTGCCCTCCCCGCCCACATTCGCAGCACCAACATCTCCTCCATGTGCCTTCCTCGCTCCCACCAATTCCTGCTTCTCTTTCTATCTCTTTCCATTCTTGGTTTGTTGTTATTGTTGATGGAGGGGTGTGGGGGAGCAGGTGCAGTGGCTGGCTGAAACTCCCACTGTTGCATTCTTTCTTTCCCTTATCCGAGTATAGCTTTCTTCTGTATATGCTCAGAAAATTACAGGACATCTGAATTTCTGGATATAAGGCAAGCATGCTTGAGTTGAACAGTCAGATCCTGTTTGATGCTTCAATACTGCAGAAAGGCACACACTGAAACCCAAGTGTTGAAGACAGTATTATTGTTCATTCGTAGCTTTCTACATGTTCTGTTTCATGAATAGCATTTTAATTGTATTGAAGTTCTAATGTATACTGTGCTTGGCAGGTGAAGAGTAGGGTGAGCTGTACTGAGGGTGTTGAAAGAGGCTTCTAATATTCCCTTCCACCCCTGCCCCATTTCCTAAGAACTGTCCCAGAATGTCTGTCATGAAGGTTATGGGGTGGTTACCGCACAAGACATTTGTGTGCATTTAATAGCTAAACTAGTATAATGGAATGTGCTGTAGGGGGAAGCATGACAGTGGAAGGGAGATCCATGCAACTTCTTTCAGTGGCTTCAGTATAGTTGGAATGTCAGAATAACATAAGTTTCTGTGTCCAGTTGTGAATGAATTAGATTTATTCTGAATTCCAATCAGTAAGTTACATTTCATTCAAACCCAGATATTTAAACGTTATTTGTTCTATTATTTTTAAGGATTGCATCCTGTAGTGTATATACAATGAACATGTATATAATTTCTTTATTGTCAATGCAACAGTACTTTAATATCTATTTATTTATTTATATAGCATGCACTATATGTTTCACCCTCAATGGATCATCTTCAGGTGCTGTTCTGTAGTATGAACCACACAGTGCAAGGAACCGCATAATGTAAATAACACACAGTAACCATTGGCTCCCAACAACATGAAAGAAGAGTGATTTATTCTTTAGAAGACTGGTAACATTAGGATACTAACACGGTGAGCTAGTACAGCTAACAGTAAAAGAAATTTGATGAAGCCTGTGTGTGATCTGCTGCAGTAACAAACACAAAGCTACTCACGGCTTATAACACTTTGAAAAATCATTTCTAAATCATTTTAAATATGAAATCGTGATTTAAATTAGGTTTAACATATTGTTCCATATACGATATCACATGTACGATTTTTAGGTTGAGTTTTATTCTTGTTTTATTGTATTTTATTGTTAATTCTAACCTAAGTTAGACTTGGACTAAAGTTTTGTCTAGATTGTGAATCGAATAGAAACTAGTTTGTATGAACCATTTATAAAATTGGGAATGTTAGTGATGCAGTTCAGTAATAGTGTGTGAGAACTTGCAGCACCTGAAGATGACCCATTGAGGTCGAAACATGTAGTGCGTGCTATATAAATAAATAAATAAATACTTATTAAGTATTGTTGCGTTGGTGGTAAAAATATATATATTCATTGTTCTATTATATTGATTGAAACAATGGAAATGTCTTACCATCACATGCTGGTACTCTTTACACTGAACATTCCTACATAATCTCTGTCTCTTAAGTCTCCTTTTCGATTAGAGTGCAAACTACACATACTGATCTTGTGCCTCTGCAGAAATTTGCAGCATCTTTGGATATGATGATGTCATGGGAGTGAATATTAAGATTTCAGTCTTCTGAGTTGTGACACCATGCAGTTCGGTAGGTCCCCCCCCCCNGGTCCCCCCCCCCCGAAGAACCTACTGCCTCAGTTATCAGGCACTCTTTTTTTCCTGAATATTGAGGTAGAAAGTTCTTCTGAAACAGTGGTCCTATCTACCAAACTACATAACTTCACATCACAGAACACCTTAATCTTATTACTTTTTGTATGAGACATAGCATTCACTTGATTATTCCAGTTTGTTTCTTTGCACTGAAGTGAAAATATTAGTGCATTTATAAGTTGGCAGGCTTTCATGGCAGTTAGTGTTTGTATTGTGGTCTTGTGGATTGTAACATCATGGGGCTTTGTTGTTGGATACCAATGCATCTCATGGGCATACAGCCTTCACCCTCAGGGTTGAATTGAGTCAGGCAATTGTACAGCCCTGGACTGGGTTCTACTACTGTCCCTGTCAGGACAGGGCTGAACAACCAACTTCCTTGCAACTTGCTGATATGTAACTTAATTGTATTGTCACCCCGAAGATGGAGGTATCATATTCTTCTGAAATGTTGCTGTCCACCTATGAGACCACATGGTATCACAGCCCAGATGACCACAGTCTGAGTAATACATACAGTTTTTAAACATTTGGCACAAGAAGTGAATATTTAGCACAGTGTTCAGGAACACTGTAATGATTAGGCATTTCAAGTTTTGGGCTCTAGTTTATGGGAAGTGGTTATACAAACGAGACTGGAGTATTTTGTAGGTTCACTGACTATACTGTATGATGGTAAGACATGGCTACCATGCAAGGAACTAGCTTATTCACCACAGTTTTGACTTATGATGACACGTCACAAGCGGAAGATGAGGAGAGCTCTCTGCCACATTTGGACGGCTTCCAGAGCAAACTGCCACCAGGCATTCTTCCCCATGGCCTGCCACAGGTGAAGGAAGTACAGCCAGCCCTCACATCATTGGAAAATGCACCTCCTAAACAGGAACCTGCCAAACAAGGTCAGTCTGCAGTAAGTAGGATTGAAAACATAAGTAACTGCCTTACTCTGTGACCAGCCTACCACCAGGTCAGAGATAAAGTTCCAAACACAAAGGATGAGCACGTCGTGTCATCCTTATAGTTTGCATCTTGTTGCGCATCATTAGGGGTACTACAACAGTCTAAGATTAAAAACTAATATTGATGTGTTAATATTTGTTTTTATTATACATACCACTGAAAACTGCATACTGAGGAGCTTCAGAACTTGTATTCCACTCCAAGTGTAATTAGAATGATCAAGTCAAGGAAGATGAGATGGGCAGGGCATGCAGCATGAATGGGGGGAGAAGAAGAATGCATATAGGATATTGGTTGGAATGCCAGAAGAAAAGAGACCACTGGGTGGCCAATATTAAAATAGGTCTTTGAGAGATAATATAAACAGATATTAACATATTAATTTATTCATAGATTGTTGTGTTGAGGGCCATGTTAGTACCCATGATAGCCTTCTGCCTGGTCAGGGCTGTCACAACTCAGGGGATGTTGATAGATGAGTATGGAGCAGTGATGGAGTGATGATTAGTAGGGGAAAATGGAAGAAACCTGGAGAAAACCCAATGTAGTGCTACTTTTTGCATGAATGTCACTAGAAATTCTGGGGTGAACCTGTGTCTCCTTGGTGAGAGCCCAGCACCCTGAATTTTCCTGAGTTATGTCACAGTGTCAGCCTTTTCTGTTAGTCATGAATCTGGTATTTAACAATTGTATATGGTCATCGTGTATTTCAGAAAAGCGTGATTATGTCAACTTTTATAAAGTTGAAACCCACTGTTTTAATGAGGTTTTTGCTGTTAAAGTGTGAGATTCTGACAAGTGTGATTCACTTTGTGTCAGTGCGAGAATTGTCTGAAGAGGAGAAGCAGATGACAATCCTTACTGAAGAGTTCCAGAGGTTTCTGGATCGTGCCGGCCGTTTGATGGAGCGAGCTGTATCTGAAAGTGTCGACATCTACACAGACTACACTGGAGTAGCGGACGGCGATGAAGCAGGGTGAGTGTTGCAGTGCTGCTATGTACAGAGGATGTACACTCAGAGAACACTGATATTGGAAGGGAGGAGGGCACAATATTGTGATTTACCAGTGAGATGTATCTATGGACTGAACTGAGGCAAAAATTTCGTTGCGTTGCTGTGGGTTGAGCGGCAAACTGAAGGAAATGTTGACTAGGAATCATTGCAATTGAACGTTAAATGTGAGAGGACCTTAAATCAAGGAACTCTAAATGGGGTTTCCACTGTAAGAGGATTCCTTATTCAAAGAGTCTGCAAAATGGGAGTGGTATGGACTGGATTGATCTGGCTTAGGATAGGGACCAGTGGAGGGCTCGTGTTAACACAGTTATGAACCTTGGGGTTCTATAAAATGTTGGGAAGTTCTAGAGCAGCTGTGCAACTGGTGGCTTCTTAAGAAGGGCTCAGCTCCATGAAGTTAGTTTCTGCAGCATAAATGGGGCAGACATTGAGAAAGTTCTTAGATGAGTCTGATTTGTGTCTTGCATTTTATCAATACCCAAGCATTGGAGCATCAGTGTTAGACGTTATTTTAAGAAGAAAAATTTATTGTCGTTTTTGCTTTGAAAATATACACTCAAATTGTATTTATGCATTTTTTAAATATTTTTAATTTTGTCATTTTAAGATTTATAAGGTTTTTGTTGAGAGTTGTATACTGGGACCTGATGTCTGAAGGTTTAAGTCTCTGATTTATTAAAGAGAAATTGAATTCAGTGATCAGTTTTGACCACAAGAATGTATATGTAACTGCTGTGAGTAAAGCGAACAGTTAGCGCAGTAATACTTGTGATACAATTAACTTCAGCTGATGGAGATTCAAATATTGTTGCTTTATACTTTAAAACTCACCTTACAACTTGCATATGTTTCAGGGATGAGAAGTCTGGCCTGCGATTATCATTGAACCGTTGCTTCTATGATGATCGTTGGTCACGTAATCGCTGTTTGACTTCACTGGATTGGTCACCTCAATACCCAGAACTTCTAGTAGCTAGCTACCATAACAATGAAGATTCACCCAATGATCCGGATGGTGTGTGCCTAATTTGGAACACAAAGTTTAAGAAGACAACCCCAGAATACATTTTCCATTGCCAATCTCCAGTTCTGGCTGCAACATTTGCTAGGTGAGCAGCAAAGGAAGTTGGTTCAAGTTGTAATGCTCCTATCTTATATTCATTAGGTGTCCAGTTGCTTATCTTAGATGTTGAGTATGCTTAAAGGTTTGGCCACGCCATAGCTCAAGCGGTTAGTCTCTGGCTTCCCACCATGGCGGCCCGGGTTTGATCCCGGGTCTGGTCAAGTGGGATTTGTGGCTCTAAGGTAGGTTTTCTCCGAGTACTTCAGTTTCCCCTGCCAATCTTCATTCCACCAATTGCTCCACAATCACCCTCACCTATCATCTGGGGCGGTACAATAGGCCAGAAGTGATCGCAGTACAAGGGACTTAGTCCCACCCCACTAGCAATAAAAGAAGATCCTTAAAGGTTAGTCAGTGTAGAGGTATTCTTTGGCTGAATAACCTGGTTTGATTCCTGGTAGGGGTAAGTTTTTTTTTGTATGCCACAGGATCCAGACTGTTTCAGATGCACACCGAGCCTCCTATCCAATGAGGACTAGGCTTTCTCCTCTGTGGGTAAAGGAGCTGGGCCATGAAGCTGACCACCCACCTCCATCTAGTGCTGAGACATGGTACTTGATGAATTGAGCATACAGACAACTTTACCTTTACCTTTCCCCACATCCTCCAGGTAAATACTGGGATGGAACTTAATTTCAGGCCAGTTCATCATTAAGCTGCCGTTCGACCATTCGTTGCTGTGTTGTCTGAGCTGCTGACAGCAGGCGGCTTGATAGAATGTTGGTACACCTGTGCAGTCTCATCTCTGAACAGGAGGAGATGTCTGTGGCATATCCAATAGTTATAGAATATTTTTACTCTAATGCAGTGATGTAGCAGTGTGCATCTTATCATGAAGCAGCCCACACTTTGTCACCTCGAGGTGACAGATTTTTTTCTTACATGAAGGAATTACTGTGTGTCACAATTGTCTTGGATATGATACCATGAAGCCAGGTAGGTGGGTATCTGTGTTTGAGAGGAATGCATTTCCAGTGAGCTTTTTCTGAAGATGGAGGCACTATGTTCCTCCGAAATGTTGGTGCACACCTGCAAGGCTACACAGTGTCATAACCCAAGAGGGTTAAAAAATTTTGAGTAATGAACCACTGCAATTTACAGCAGAGACTTTTCTTCCATAGAAACTGAAGCTGTCAGAAGGCTTGCATTGTCAGTCCCTGGATTCCATTTTCATGGTTCAGGTTTTTGCACCCTGAATATGGAGGCAAGTAGGTTTCTCCGAAATGTTGGTAGTAATCTGCAGCGCTGCACTGAATCACATCCCAGAAGGCTATAGTCTTGGTACAGGCAAGTTCATTATGAAATGTGTTCCAGGTTCCATCCCAATCTGGTGCTTGGCGGAACATATTCAGGACAGATTGTCCTGTGGGATAACCGTGTGCAGAAGAGGACCCCAATACAGCGCACGCCTCTGTCAACATCAGCGCACACTGTAAGTTGTGTGACTCTGCATCTGGTGCTAATGGCCGCAGCTGCAGGTTCCTTTCTTTTAATTTTCCATCTGTTTTTATTTTGAGTATGATTTATTAGATGCTTTGTTACAGAGACATTCAGGGAACTTAACTGACCTCTTAACAACAGCAGTGACAATGAAATCATAATCATCATCATCAGTCATAATTTCTGCCACCACTGCCACTGCCATGGATTGACTCATGTTCATGTTTTTGAATGTTAATTAAGGTTGTGGGTTTGCTTGCCGATGAGCTCATTGGATTTTTCAGTTGACCTAATCCTTCCAGCCACACTATGGCCATCGGGTTGACTCAGCCTCTAACAGAAATAAGTACCGGGAATATTCCTGAGGGTACAGGTAGGCCTTCCTGCACATAAGGCTGACAACCTAATCGCCATCTGTGAGCCGATTGTCTAGAGAAAATGTGGCAGCCTTGACCTCTCATAACCCTGTGGGTTTCCGTGGCCTATTACAGGGATAGCTTTACATTTTCTTTTATGTAGTTATGTTTAAGTAACTATTTTTCCTCTTGTTTGGATTTTTTTTTAAGTATGTTGGTGACATATCACTTTGTTTTCTGTTTTTTATGTAATCTCATCTTTTACTCTTCTGTTTATTACTACAGTACTTTACTCCCTTTAAATTTTACTTTCTATATTTCATGATTGTTAAGTTGTCCTCTGATTAACCTTTTGACGTGGTCATTTAAATTCCGCGGCCGCGGCTCCTGCNGCAGGGTACTCACACAAATCAAATTGAAATGTATGCCCTCTTTCAGGATCTGTCTTCTTGTAAGCTTGCTTTCCTAATTTTGAAAAAATAGAAGGAGGCTTATGTGATCACTTTGCTGTCTGTCTGTATCTCTCCCTTAATCTTTTAATTTTTTATGTGGTCCTTGTCATATCAGAGGAAAGTGGATGATACTTCTTGCCAGAACTTCTTGTATATTGTAACTTGAATATTTGTGGCAGATTACGAAGTATATCTTCACCATGACGTAATACAGGTACAGTAACTTAAGCAGACCTCATCATTAAGATGAATGTCCTGTGGGATGTGACATCCTGCCAATCTTCATTCCACCAATTGCTCCACAATCACCCTCACCTATCATCTGGGGCTGGTACAATAGGCCAGAAGTGGCCGCAGTACAAGGGACTAGTCCCACCCCACTAGCATTAAAAAAAATAAGAGGAAAACCTAACCTAACCTAACATGTGAAGGGAGGCTTGTATTAATGCATATGTAACATAGAAACACTTAAGATCAGCAAGTATTGTAAGGATGGAAAGAAACAGAAGATTTACATGTTGCAGCATCCTGTGTATTGCCTAAGTGTGGTTGGGACCCAGAATGCACATAACTTGATAAGCGTGTCTACGGATGGGAGACTGTGTTCATGGAGTCTGGATATGCTTTCCCAGCCACAGGAGACTCTAGAGTTGCAGCACAAGCAAGGCAAACCCATAGCAGTGACATGTCTTGCTTTTCCACATGGTGACGTCAACAACTTCATCGTAGGAAGTGAAGAAGGGTCTGTGTACACAGGTGAGACTGTCGCACCTCCCCGTAGAACTGCCAGCCACTCAGAGCTAAATGCTCTTGCACCAATAAACCTTTACCTTTAAATCGTAGCAGAAATATTGATATAGGTCATTATTTTTGATGCACTGTCTACTTGAAATTAACTATAACTAACACCATCTAATGCATCGAGGTGTTTAATGGTCATATACGAGGGTCGATCAATAAGTACCTGTGTTAGGAATAAAGACACAAGTTTTTCACTTTTTTTTTTTTTATTTTTCAACGTAATCTCCTTTCAGGTCGATACACTTTTCCCAACGTTTCTGCCATTTCTTTAACCCCTCCAAAAAATACGATTTGTCAAACTCTTCAAAATACGCTTCTGTCTCGGCGATAACCTCCTCGTTTGAGCTGAATTTTTTTCCCCCGAGCCATGTTTTCATGTTGGGGAACAGAAAAAAGTCACAGGGAGCCAGGTCAGGCGAGTACGGTGGGTGTGGCAGCAATTCATAGTGCAGTTCATGCAATTTGGCTACGACAATTCCAGATGAATGTGCTGGTGCGTTATCGTGGTGAAACAGCACCTTTTTCTTAGCCAAATGGGGCCGTGTCTCCTTCAATTTCTTATCGAATCGGTCCAATAATTCACTGTAGTACTGCCCCGTGATCGTTCTTCCTTTCTGCAAAAAGTCCATGAGGATTATTCCCTTCGAATCCCAAAAAATCGTGGCCATGACCTTTCCGGCCGATGGGACCGTCTTTGCCTTCTTCGGAGCAGATTCACCCGGAAAAATCCATTGTTTTGACTGTCGCTTGGTCTCTGGCGTATAATAATGTATCCAGGTTTCATCAACGGTGACGACTCGACGCAAAAACTCCTGCGAATTTCGCTTAAAGAGGTCCAAACACTGCTTCGACATTGACAGCCGTATCCGCTTGTTGTCCACCGTGAGCAACCGCGGCACCCATCGGGCTGACACCTTTCTCATACTTAAGTTATCATGTAAAATATTGAGTGCCGTTCCGTACGACACACCTATGGCCTCTGCTACTTCGCGCACTTTAGTTCGGCGATCAGCGAGAATCATGTCATGGACCTTTTCAACGATTTCCTCGGTAACGACGTCTGCCGGGCGGCCCGGCCGCTCCTCGTCAAAAACAGATGTACGACCACGTTTAAATTCGTTGAACCAATATCTCACGGTTGTCATAGATGGTGAAGGGTCCCCATAGACGGCATCCAACTTCGCTTTTATTTCTTCGCATGTTTTTCCATCCAAAAATAAAAAGCGAATTACGGATCGATATTGCACTTTCTCCATTGTATCAAGAAAGACAAAACACGTCTGATGCAACTGGCTGCCAAATAAAAACTAACCTATGAATCAGTCTGAAATTTAGTATGGGGTCGTTTGACAGATGGCAGTACACGACGGTAAAGCCAACTTCCCTCAGCAACGCCACCTGTCTTCAAACACGGGTACTTATTGATCGACCCTCGTAGCCCAACGTGCTTCAGCCTTGTATGGCCATATTCAAGGTCATCTAGTATATGGCCAAAACATGTGAGGCTTTATTTAAAAACTGGTTGCAGTAGATGGTGTTTGTTATGTTTAATTTAACAATGGAAATGTTCATTTGAAGTTATCACATTCTTCAATGTAAAGAGCACCTTCTTCTGCCATGTTCCTGCATATAGTTTGATGTACGTTACTGATGTTTCAGAGGACCTTACTTGGTTCACTGTGACCCTGAACATTGAGGCACTTTATTTGAAATGCCATTAAATTTCTGCCAGACCACACAGCTTCACATCCAAGAAGATAGTACACTTAACACAATTATAATAGATGGAAGCTCATTATTTTCTCTAAACATCAGTGTCATGTACTTGTCAGAAATACTGTACTAACTGATTAACCTTTAATGTATGGACTTTTAAATTGCCAGGAGCCCTCTGCGGTCGATATTTAAATGGCCCTAATTAATTAACATTGCAAACCTTAAAAAAAATACATATTTTATGTTCTATGCAACATAGAAATACAAACTAAAAACAACCTGAAAGACAGTAAAATTTTCTACATATACACAGAAGAGCAATTTTTACAAACGAAAATAAACCGTGATTATTTTGTCATGAAGTGCAAAATATAATCTTTATTATATATGTTATGAAGTCCCAAAGTACTTACCTGTTGTTTTTTCTTCAACCTTCAATCATGGTGGTATTGTAAATATAATCAAACTATATACAGGGCTACTATAAATGATTCATTCGTTTTTAAAACGCTATATTTTCCAAAACATTACACGTACAAATATGATTGATATATATAAAGAGAACCGTAAACTCACCAAGTTTTCTTCACACTCTACAAATGATCTCTGTGTTCCCCTTGGGTCACACAACACACGTCCAGGTGGTAGTCGAGCTTGTTGCACACATTTTATAGCATCATCCTGTCAATGGTCATCACTGTAGCATCGATGCGTTCCCTCAGCTCTACTAGTGTTCTTGGCAGTGGGGGTACGTAATCACGATCCTTGATGTACCCCCAAAGGAAGAACTCACAAGGCGTTAGATCAGGTGATCTGGGGGGCCAAGTGAACAGAGCTACATCATCCTCACCAACACGCCCAATCCAGCGTGTCCTTAAATTGCCGATACCACCGCAAAATGCTTTCTTTACATGGCAGTTCTTTTCCGTACTCTCTTTTGAATGCGCGTTGCACTGCTATAACAGACGAACATCTCGCATATTGCAACAAACAAAAACACTTTTCTTGCTTTGTTGCCATTTTGTAAAGGCACTGAATTTGTGCAGCCAACTGGTGCAAATAATACAAACTTAGTGAGTTTATGGTTCTTTTTATATACCAGTCATGTTTGTACGTGTATTACTTTGGAAAATATAGCGTTTTAAAAACGAATGAATCATTTATAGTAGACCTGTACAATAATATTTTGTTCAGACTGTACACGAGTTTGAACTACGTCACTTCGCAGTTTACGATACACTGACGCACGTGGCACTTCTCGAAGCAGTCTGCCTCACACAGAGCAAAATCACACTTTTTACAGTAGAAGACTGTGCTCCTGCTTTTCGTATTTAGCGAAACACATGTCTTTGTTTCCCTTTGGTTGGCCAGTGTTGTGAATGTTTCACCTCCAGTCGACTCACTTGGGCCCCAGATAACCTTGGCCTCCTCCCAAGAAACGCCACTGACCGCGATATTCGCCTTGTGTGCTTGAAGAATCATCTTGGGGGAGGGCAGTTTCTAGCAAAATCGAATAAATTACGTTGATTGACAAAGTAACACTCTCACCTATTAGTAATACCCGCAAATTAGTGATGCAAAGCAAATTATACTACTAGTTGAAAAGAGTGCCAGTCCAACACTGATACCTAAAATCACAGTGGTGAAGATGCCTTTTATTCACAAAGATATATATGACAGTCCGACACTGACTTCCTAACTGATAATTCGTCACTGAAAACCAATTCGTCAATGTGTCACACTTCCTTGAAGGCCGTGGAAGCACTCATATGCAAGCACCGATGAATATTTCCTCATCAGTTCTCAAAATAAAGCTGGGCTATATTTGGCTGACCAGGTCATAAACAGTCATATCTAAACGTAAATACTATCGAAACCAGTACCGTGATAAACAATTTCATTGTTCAGAGCTAAGGAATGAACCACTGACATGACCTTGCATAGGTTTGTTTTAGTTTCAAATCCAAGGTCAGACTGTCAGCACTCCCAAAGAGAGCACGTGTCCTGCCACATATATATATATATATAACATTCGGCCAACTTGGGGTGCTGCTTGCTGCATATATATATAAAACACTCGGCCATTGAATGTTAATGGTGAGCTGATAACTTTGCTGTTTAGGCTTCATCCTACGTACCCTTAGCCAATCTAGCACGTGGTGTGCAGTTGGTTAAAAATTCATAGATACCACCATCTGTGAGCTGATTGTCTAGAAAATGTGGGAGCCTCAGTGGCCTGTTACAGTGATAACTTTACCTTTTCTTACCTTACCATTAATTTCAGAGTTCCTGTGGTGTTTTTATTCATCTGTGGACATATTGTTGAAAACATTAATTGTTAATGGGAAGTTTTGAAGCATAACACTATAGTACTAAACACCACATTGAAGTAATGGTTGGCACTTCAAGTTGGACCCAACTTCAAGTCTCAGCCCAGAGATTTGCTGTCCTAATTGAGGGTTTCACTTCAGATAAATGTTGCAGTAGCTTATCAAAATATACTTTGACAACTTTTACCAATTCATTATTTATTAGTCACCCTACCATTTGACACTATTGTGTGTGTGCTGCTGAGACTTCTGACTTCTGTTCAGTAGGCGGCCTGGTTGAAAGTTGGCTAGGACAGTGTTGGGTTTTTCATGGTTTTCCTCAGTTTTCCCAGGATACCACTTTAAATTAGATCACAACTGCCTCCATGTCCTCTCCAATTCAGCATCATCTGACTGTTTGACGCTGTGTAGTCTGAGATAATAATGGTGTCGATAAATGATCTTGTAGTGTTGCATCTTACAGATAGACATGGAAGAGTTACCATCACACAAACAGACAAATGTTTGTAGATACTTTTGAAATTTTTGACAGAGTAGTCCTGTGGTTGGCTGCTAACATTTTGGAGGGGCATGTTGCTTCATCTTGAGGGTTGTGAGGAGGGTGGTCAGTCAGATATGGGAGGGAGTAAAGTAATGGAACCCAAGTCATACCAGTGGGAACAGTAGGTATGAAAACAGTCTTTTCGGGTGCACTGTATAAGTGTCGATTGCAAGAAGGAAATGGAACTGTGACAATATTGTTTTCTGTCACAGGGGGGGTTTAAGGTTGTTTTTTTTTTCTTTTGAGAAGCGTATGTTGATTGTAAAGTGTACTGAAGTGAATGCACTTGCTTGCAGCGTGCCGCCACGGTAGCAAGGCTGGCGTAACGGAGACATACGAGGGACATCAGGGCCCAGTGACTGGAATCTCTGCCCATTCAGTTCAGGGAGCAATTGACTTCTCCCATCTTTTCCTAACATCATCATTTGATTGGACTGTGAAGTTATGGAGTGTGAAGGAGAACCGACCCCTGTACTCATTCGAAGACAATGGAGACTACGTGTATGACGTAGCTTGGTCACCTGTTCACCCTGCGCTCTTTGCTACTGTGGATGGTACTGGACGTCTTGATCTTTGGGACTTGAACCAGGTGAATTCATTTCCATGTTGTCATGATTATACTGGATTGGGTGGTAGGTACTGGATATATCTGGCTCAGGATAGGGACCAGTTGTGGGCTCTTGTGAACATAGTTTCTAGAAAATGGTATCACAAGTTCAATTTTCATTGTCATATTTGTAGCCATCTTTATCATAACCTGCAGGGGTTGGAGCTTGTTAGTTTGTTCCATCCTCAAACATGAATCCATTATCATCTTGGTCTTGCTGGATTATGTCTTCGTGTTAGTTGATAATATTAAAGTTTCTTGGTAGCTGTTTTCTCATGGCATCATCTGTAGATGTTCCATCCAGCTTTTCTTCCTGGCATGTATTTGCTTGTCCGACTTCCCCATTCCCAGTTGTGACTTCCTTTTCTTCTCCTATAGAGTGTAACTTGCTGAATACCTCAGGAACTGCATCTCTGCTGTTTCCAATTGTCTTTCATCTCTCAGATTCCATTTTTATGACAGAAACAGTACAGGAGGAATTTGGTGGTAGAAGAAGAAAGTTTCAGATATTCAGACATAGGTAAGAGACTAGTACTAAAAATATATAAATTGTCTGACGCAAGAAATTGTAATTTCACTGGGATCTGAGTTCTCACTACTAAATATCTGCAGTAGGAGGCACTTGCTACAAGTTAGAAGGTTGCTGGTTTGAGTCCCGATGAGGTGGGTTTTTCAATTGACCTAATCGTTCCAGCCACACTATAGCCCTGGGCTCAACTCAGCCTCTAACAGAAATGAGTACCAGAAATTTTCCTGGAGGGTAAAGGACAGATGGTGTGTAAGGATGACAACCTTACCACCATCTGTGAGCCGATTGTCCAGAGAAAATGTGGGAGCCTCAATGTCTCACAACCCTGTGGACCTTCACGACCTGTTAGAGAGATAGCTTTACCTTACAAAGTAGTTTATATTCATGAACTTGAGCACCCAGATTATATAGTGAGAATTTACTCTTGCAGCTGATTGGTGCAAAATGTGCATGATGGAATCATGAATCCATAGCAGGTACGCGTAGCTGATGGGGTCTTACCGTAGTTCTAATGTCTGTGAACATGGAACAACAAAAAATTCTCATACTATTCGGCGAGAGAGATTGCACTGTGTAATTGAACATATTGATTCTGTGAACTTATGTGCACGTGCATGCATATGCGTGTAGTGATCTCGATTTTTGGATATAGAAATATCCCAGGATGGAGTAGAGTAATGGCCCAGCTGAGTAGGATGTCATGCTTTATGTCATGACCCTGATGGCAACAGGGCTGTTTCTCAAGACATTTACTTTAAAAGAACTGAGATGTAGGTCGGTGCCCAAATTATCAGAGCTGTTGTTCTGCGGCAGTGTCAGAAGTCTTCGTTTCCTTGAACACGAGACAACATGGAATGACATGCTCAGAAGATCTGTGTTTTTCTCAGTATGTTCAGTAATGGTGTGTTCTTGCCAATAGGATACAGAGGTACCCACAGCCAGTGCCCTGGTGGAGGGTGCACCTGCACTCAACAGGGTATCCTGGACACCGTCAGGGCTTCACGTGACAGTCGGTGATGATATGGGGAAGATATGGGTGTACGATGTGGGAGAGGTAAGTTATATGTGTTGTGTTTGGGACACTGTACCTTATGAGTGTGAAGGAAATATCATGTTGGTAAGGTATAAAAGTTTGTGACAGTAGTGTATTAATATAGTTATTGACTTTCTGGACATAGTGCATCATCCTGTTCTGTATTGTCACGTGTAGAGGTGTGACTTGACGTGATTTATTGGCCACTTATACTACACTGACAACTCGTAAGTACAAGTAATTATAATGCTGTTGCTAGTACACACACTAAGTCTTCTTGGTTTGCTTTCCCTAATTGTTTCCTGGTATCAGCTTCTAACACTGGAGATTCTTCAACTTTATGCACTCAAGTCCTCTCTTCACAGACTCCCATACAAAACTTAACTTTCAACTATCTCCCAGGCTGGCAGTCATTTCACACCAACCTCCTGCTATTCTCTTCCCAGCCTGACTTTCAGCTGACTGAGATCAGAGTTAGTCAGCATTACTTTACAACTGATGGTTTACCGCCAATCAGTTCGTCTTGGTCACAAGCCCCATGAGACTAACAACCAGTAATTTTATTTTCCAACTGAACACTTGTGGTTACAGCCCTTATGTAACATTGTCTCTGATGAGAATGGGTCTCTTTTTTTTTACAACTGATGCTGATTCTCGCCAGCAGTCATTCCCGAGTCCCCAAGTCCCATGGGATTCATGACCACATTTTACTGTCTCAGATTCGAGACTCCCCCAGCATGGAGGGCCAGGTCCCCTTATTTATGTTGCCCAGGAACAGTGTGGCCCAGTTATACCCCAAGGCACTGGGTTCCCTTTTTATTGCCTCCTACAACTCGCTGGGCTACAGTGGACGTATTCGAGCCTGCCTCCACACAAGCTAACTAAGCTCTAAACCTCCTCCCGCTTATAACCTCTCGGCACAGACCACCATAAGAACACCCCATTTACATTGTTACAGCCCAACTGTTGCATTATTCGTTTCCGCAGGAATGTGTTTACTGAGCTGTTGCCTCAAAACGGCTCTGGTATATCTCCCCCTCTCGTGGTCATTGCATAGCAATGGCATAGCTCCGCAGTTCTTGCTTTGAGCAGATAATCCACAATGTTGACAAACAGTGTTTTAGAGACAGGACTGTATCTTCACATGTGAAAGAGAACCTATTTGGGCCTGGCTGGTCTCCAGCGATAGGGACTAGCTCTAGATTTTTATTTGGGAGGTGCAAGGTTTGAATCTTGGCCAGGACATAAGCATTCTAGGTTTCTGTCAGTCTCTCAAGACATGTTCAGATAGTACGTCAATTGCACCATTTGCAATTTATTATTCACAAGTCATCCGTTCATTCAATGCTGTATAGACCGAGCTGCTGACAGCAGCATTAAATAAACAACAAAATTAATTCTGAAAAGATATCAGTTGACGTGTAATGTTTTCTGATGTTTCAGCAACTGTCACAGCCACGAATTGATGATTGGAGCAAGTTTGTATACACACTGCAAGAGCTGAAGAACAACCAAGCAGATGAAGAGATTGACAAATTGAACCTGAGCTCCTCGGGCCCATCTAGCCTTGGAAATTTAGCGTCTCTCTCTCCCAACCCATTGCGTTAGGATTTTACGTTCTCATACCTGCATGGAGTTAGTACTGTATTCTGTCATTACCACTAAAAGAGCTGTAATCCTCTTTTGGGTTCATGTTTAGTATTCCAATCGTTGCTGTACAGATTGAAGACACTTTCTGAAATGTGGTCAATTGCCATTTTGTAAGCCGCTGTTTGCCTTAAAGAATGTTAGTGGCTTCATGGTTGCAACTTCTGGCTGCATTCCAACGGTATCCAGCTGCTTTTCTTTGTGTCAATTCGATGAAGCTTCTAGTGACCACAGTCATGTTAAAGACAAGCTCGTTAACCAGTGGAGAATTACTTTTTGCTTATTGTATTATTTCCAGTAATTGACTCAGTGAAGTTTAAAAGGAACTTTGTTGTGGCTTCATTTTGACATATGTAAATTAAATTGCTTGTAAGTAATTGTGTTCTCAGTATAAAATAATTTATTGCTAGAATTGGTTTTAATTATGGTGCTGTTATGTTACAACTTTATGATTCAGTAATTTGTACAATAAAATATGGAAGGAAAGTATTTATAATCGTAAATGGCAGTTTGTGGATGTTTGTTTGCTAGCGCTTGCAGATGATGCGGACCTGGATATTTTTTATTGGTGTTTTCCTGTAGTGTCGTGTTCTGACTGACATTTACCTGAGCTGTGTTAGTGTAAAAGAGAGGAAGGCACAGGAAGAATAACTACACTAGAACAGACAGATGGAAGAAATGAAAAAGGAATACGAGAAACAGTAGGGAATGAGATATAGGTAAGGAAGAAGGGGGATGAAAGATGAAGATAACATAAAAAATTATTTTCCTGTGCATGCACCAAAAGTCACAAGCAGATGGTGAAATATTTTGAAATTCTTGTTTGGTTTATTCCAGTGCATCCAGGAAAATGTTGAGGTATGCCATGAAATATGCCATGGCTACTTTATGCCATACCATAATAATATTGAATGGCCTCCGTAGTCTAAGGGTAACATTCCCACCTCATGACTCAAGGTATGCAGGTTTAAACCTGGTGTAGGTCGTGGAATTTTTAAGGGCAGAAAAATTCAGGGAACAAGTCCTCCAAGGGGGACTTTAAGCCGTGTGTCCTGTGTCGTAGATTTACGGCACATGAAAGATCCTCATGTCTCTAGGAGAGCTCTGAGCAAAATTAGGCCAAGTTTCCCGCCGAGGTAGTTTCCAATTCCTCTGGTAGATGGGGAAGTATCGGGGACTACTGCCAGAGAGGGCCAACCTCTCTGGCAGAACGGGGCTGATAGTGAGCACCAGTACTGGAAGGGCATGGCAACTGGTAGAATAATTAAAGGGGGACGCACAATAGATTAACAACTAGTCGCAGTGCATGGGGAAACCCACCCCCTCCAAAATAATAAAGTAATAATAATCCCTGTAACAGGCCTTTGAGGCCTTTAGGGTTGTGAGATTTTGAGGCTCCCACATGTTCTAGAAAATCAGCTAACAGGTGGCAGTAAGGTTGTCAGCCTTACGTGCTGGCCGCCCTCCTCGTATCCATTTCTGTTAGAGGCTGAGTGTACCCCAGGGCCATAATCCAGCTGGAAGGATGGATTAAAGTGAGAAAAGAGTCCACCTCATCAGGACTCGAACCTGCTACCTTCTGGCTTGTAGCGTAGTGCAACATAATAATATTTTAGCTCATTATTCATTACCAGTTATGTTTATACTTGATATGCTGTATCTAATAATTACATATTCAGAAAATGCAGGACATGTATATATGTGTGGGAGGCTCGCCTATGCAGCCACTCAGAGGTCACTGTTGCACTATATAAGCACATTTCATCACAGTCTCATTTTTGTGTTGGAGTTTTGAAAGTAATTCCTTGACTGCCAAGACTGCCTGCTAGAAATGCTGTGTCTGCTTAGGAGGAAATGCAGTTGCACAGAAAAACACACCACTTCCTCAGATTAGCTACAAACAACGACAGATTTAGAGAGCCTATTCTTTCCTCTGATATTGATACACTTGTTGCTATCTGTTGACAAAAGTGATATGCTGGGTGAATTAGCACTGAACTGACAGTTTTAATGTGGGCACACTGAGCTAATATAATTGGCTTAGGGCATGCAAAGAGTTAAAGTTATAATCTTAAGTGTACTTAAATTGTAGCTAATAACAGTATAGTTTGAGATCTGTTGAATTTTTGAATGGACGTTACACTAGTTTGAGCTGGGATACCATAGTCTGGATAGTGACTAGGGTGACAGATGGGTGACCACAAATTTGGGTTTGATTCCTGGCAGAGGCAAGAGCATTTTATCTTCTCTACAGCATCCATATTAGATCTGGCACCTCCCCAATGGATTTCTGTGGAGGTGAAGTGGCCTGAACATGAAGCTTGAAGAAAGAAGAGATCCTCCTGAAGATGGAGGCGAAAAGTTTTTCCGAAACATTGGTTCACACAAGATCTGTGTAGTGCCACATCCCAGAAGATGTCATTCTTCATAGTAACTACCGTGAAAACTTCAAATTTTAAAAATTAAAAGAAGCAAAAAACCAGTGTTATGTTTTTGGAAGTACAACTGAAGTTCTTTTATAAGCCTGTGAGATGTATGCAATTGCTGGGGTCACCATGAGGGGTGCTTTGAGCATGAAGTCAGAATGGGGAATATAATAGAAGAGGCACAATGTCATGTGGCTGGTGTAAACAAAGTTACCTGCATGTACAGATGCTGCATTAATGATGAAGTTTATATCCCTTATCTGCCAAGCAGTCTTCAGAACTCAAAGGCAGGATTCATGAGACTGTGGAGTCTGTTGACAGATATGCAATGCAAAGCATGTGATGAGTTTGCATATTTTAACCTTTAAGTGCCTAAGTGCCCCATTCTGGCCAGTGGTGAGTATGGTTGTTGTGGCCAAAGTACCCTGTTTTGGCCAGTCGGGCATTTAAACTCCGCTAGTGGAAGCGCATGCATAGTCCTAAATACTTAGTTTTAAATGTAGTGATTACCGGACAGACTTGTGTAAAACCATAATAGAGGAATTAAAATGATACCTGAGTGAACAACAGCAAAAAGGGATATATGTATGAGTTATGCCCAAACTCATCCACAAGCCAGTACTTTTACTGCAGATTCTGCAGATTAATGTGTTAAAAATTCGATGTACACACCTTTATTGTTGTTACGTGCTTGATGGATATATAGGCTGAAATGAAATTACATTATTTGATTTCACTATGAACGCACAGAAAACAGATTGCACTCAGTATCAGCCACGATGCTACTATCTGTTCATGACCATAGAAAGTTCAATAATCTCTTGCAGCTATAAGGGAAGGTCTTAGCACTGAAGAAGGGACCCCTCTAGCTTTCTCTTGAATAGCCATTCTTTCATTCTTCTGTCCTTCAGTCAAAAGATCCAAAAATCCGAAGAGTGTAAGCAGTGCTAGCAGAAGGCCAAATGATTTTATTGCTTCCATCCGTTTTATGACTCCAGGGAGGGCTAAAATTTGTCAAGTGTTAAGAACAGAAATGAATTTATAATGCAGAACATCTCTCTGAAGAACTGGGAAACCATTTTTGCAGTACGCATCAAAATTAAAAGAAAAAAAAAACAATAGAAAATATAGTGTAACTCTTTGTATAAAAATTTTCAAATCTTCCATTGTAATATGTGACTATGTTCTTTGCTGATACAAACAAAGTTAATTCCATCCATTTATCATAAAAATTGAGTTAGATACAGCATTTTTTAACACAATGCTTAAAATTGTTTAAGCGCCCTGACAGGAACGGACATTTAAACGCAGAGTAGCAACGGGCATTTAAACACGCACCAGCAGCAGGCATTTAAATAAACTCCGGCCAGCTCAAGCTTACCACCATTTCATAAGTCTGGCATTTAAAGGTTAACATGGATTCCCATTGCTAGGCAGTGGCTTGATAAACAGGTTCCTGTGAAGACAGACTCTTGGTAAACAACTTGTTGCTGGGTAATGCATACCATATGCTACAAGAGTGAGAGGTGTTTTCTATGTGGCCCATGCAGAGTATATAATGACAGTCTGTAGCTTGGAGAGTAGCAGTTGAGAGGTCAGCCAAGGAGTTCAGTCAAGAGAGTGGGAATACAATGGAACTCAGCAGTTCAGTTGTCGGTAGGAGATAGCCAAGGGAAGTTCGTAGTTGAAGAAGAATTAGAAGTTGGCCTGTGAAGACTTAACATGTTATTTGAAGACTTTATGTGTGCTGTAGTACAGTGATATTGGGATTGTGTGATTAAGTGAGACGTTTATAGCTCCCATGTTATAAATCTGTTGCCAGGAAACAGATAGTGAAGACTAGTGGAAATAGACTTAGAAGGTAAGCATGGAGTGATTTGTAATGTGAAAATCAGTAACAGTGTTATACTTGTTGGTAGTTACGACCTGTAAATGGTCACTGAATTCAATTACAAACCCGAAACCCATCTGTAGTCCTGATATACGTGACAGTATAGTTTGGGTATTTTCAGGGTTATCCATGGAGTCCACATGGAACACTTGTAGGTTGACAGAAAATACAATACAACACTGAGTCAGTATAGTGACGGGCTACAGGTTGGAGGGCCTGGGTTCAATTCCTGGCAGTGCAAATGTTTCTCTTCTCCATGGTGCCCGGGCCTACTTAGGGGCTCACCTAGCCTTCTATTCGGTGAGTACTGCGGGCTGTTTCCCTGTGGGTAAATCAGCCTGGGTGTGAAGGTGATGCCTCCATCTAGTGCTGAGGTCAAGAATGGTGGAGCTACACTTCCACTCTTCCATACGCCTTCATGGCATATAGCTTAATTAAATAAGCACAGGGACCACTTTACCTTTTACAACATAACATTGGTTTTTGTGTCCAGTGTGTTCACAGTACATTTTAGAAAGTGTTCAGTTCTTTTGTAATCACCTGCATTTGAAAATATTTTATTTAGTTTAAAAATAATTTTGGGCTGAAAGACATCAGTTTGGTCAGTGCTTTTTGCTATGGGGCTCATTGACCATGAATTATGAATATTACAGGATCTGGAAAAGAGCAGTTAAAGGAAAATTTAAGGTTCTGAGACTGTATTTCTCTGTTATGGGTGAGATGAACTGTGGTGAACGACCTGAAAAATAATTGAATTGAAGGTTATAAAAAAGCGACATGGCAATTTGCACTGAAAATAATGAATTTGATATCACAGAACATGCAGCGGTTGGCAGTTTATTATTGGTTGTTGATAGAGCCTGTTAGGGTAAGGAATTGCTTTGGAAAGCAATTACTAACAAAATGGATGCAGTTACAGAACGTTTAAGTTTTTTTCCTGCGATTATAATGGAAAGGCAGGATCACACATTGAACACATTTTTGTAATACAAGCTCATGCCATATTAGTGTTGTAAGTGCAATACATCAGTAAATCTAGGCATTTACAATTACCATGTCTTTTTTTTTATCATCTGCTTTCATGGCAGTACCAAGCCACTGGGCATGACAGTGATACTCCACAAGAAAATAATCTGAGAACCATATACAAATTAAAACAGAAACATTATACCATTTTATTGATTTTCCACATTTGTTTCACAATTCTTTTATATATATATAATGTATAGAAATTTGTTCTGGTATGCCATGGTAGAGAGGCTTTTTTACCATAGGTTTATATTTCTCAGCATAACTCTTGCTGAAATTTAACAGTGACTTTGTGAGCTGAACTCCCCAACACCATTTGTATTCATATTGTTCTCCAACCTCAAATGTTTTTAGTAACTTCGTGAACTAATGCCTGTAATTTATTTCAATAAACCATCATCAGAATACTTTTTTGTAAACATACTGTAATGTTTGTAGCAGAATACAGGTCATTGTGCAGAAGTTTGCAGATGCCATATCAGTACCAGGCTTTCCATATCAACACATTACATAAATTGTAACATCCAATAAATATTAATTTTTATTTATTTTTTGGTCAGATGATTGTGCATGTGTGAACTGAAATTATTTAAGCCTTTAATAAACAGGTGCAATCCATTTCTGTGTAACATCCCACTTAATTATACTGTATTATAATTCTCACTGTCTTATACATTTCCATAATCAGTATTTACAATATTTAAAATTAATATTAGAGGTGTTATGGATGTAAATTAATGATAAATTAAACTTTTATGACAAAATTTTTATCCCAGCAGAAAATATCAGTAAAAACCGTTGTTTCTGATTACAGATCGGTGCCTTTGTTTCGTTAGTTTAGCAGAAACATGAATTACTGGCACACATACCATGGAGAAGTTTGAGATTATTATTATCATGATCATGATCACTTTTTGTGATACAGTTCAAATGTTTCTGCTATGCCTGCATTTTTATGGATTCCAGCTTCATTTACAGATTTACATCTTGTTATTGTTTCCAAAAAAGTTACACCTTTTTAAAAAAGGCCTGCAATAACAGTATTAATGTTGTAAAAGTTTCTGAACGCCTAGTTCGTAGTACTCAATTTCTCATTTCACACATCGGATGACCTTGGAAAACCCAGTTAGGATGTGCCCTCCACTTGCAACCTGGTCACGCAGATCCAGGCTGAGATGTTGTGTCATAATAAGTTGCGTGGAATGAAGAGAGACAGTGAAAGGTTATTAAAGCGAAACTTTGCCAAAGATGTAGTTTCCAGGTGCATTAGGATCTTCGGAAGAGAAGAACTGTTTCCATAGGTCAGCAAAAACTTCTCGTGTTATCTCCACAGTCTTGTTCTAAAATAGCAATGAAAGATAATTAAATGAATTTGCATAATTGTTTGATCCTTATAACACTCATCCACTTGTTTCTGTCTGTAGTGCAACGTAAACTATTATTTTGAAATGTCATTGCAGTTTAAATTTCCTTATAAATTAAGGCATGCATAACAAAACTAGTTTTATTTTATACTTTCCTGCAAACTAAAATGTTTCTCGAGCACTTTTGTTACTCATTGTTACTGTAACTTGTGTTCTGTCAATGCTTGTTACTTATGTTAACCCATATTGGTATAGGTTTCATACTTCTGTTATTCATTATTACTGTAGATCATACTACTGTTACGTCTCGTTACCACAGCTCATTTAATTTTTATCACATTCATTCTTCCTGTGCGCTTTTAGGCATTATTTATTCATAGTACAGTGTAGCCAGTCTGTTGTGCTCTGTGGGTGGATTACATTAGCTTTTCACATACAGAAATGTTCTTAAAATATCAACTAAGTAACACTTAAGAACGATTTTGCCTCTGTTATAACTGCAATTTTATCTTCAACTTGGAATTGAATTCAGTGTCTAACAGCAATTTTAAACATTAAAGAGAAACATAAGACTGCTGATGTGCTCAGATACTGCATACATTCATAAAACAGTATTTCATGTTTTGTAGAGTTTAAGGTCAAGGTGATCCTTCTTTCAGAGGAATTTGTTTAAATTTTATTTGAGATAATTATTTGAACTAACCTACTTACAGAAATTTCGATTGTGGTCTTCTGTGTTGTGGCATCATGTAGAATTGTGGGTGTTTACTAGCTTTTCAGAGGAAAATGCTGCTTCGACCTTCAGGGTTCGAGTATAGTGAGTTAGGTTATATAGGGAAATTGTTAGGAACATGGCTGTTCAGAGCCACTGACAAGGGGAGAAGATGGAGCCAGTCCAGGACAATGGGCATAGTTGACAGGAGATGTAAGAAAATTTGTTCGTTCCCTTTTCATAGTTCCTATTACCCCACACTAGTTCTGTGTCCACCCCCCCCCCTCGCCTACCAGTCTCAGTGACCATGTTCTTTGCAACTGGCATGTATTACTCAACTTGTATCCTCACCCTAGTCACGTCATCCCGGAAGATGGTGGCAAATGTTACTCCGAAACATTAATATCCACCTTCCGTGACCATGCCACACTTCAGGGCTGTTAACCATTACTTTCTCTCCGTGAATGTTCCAGTTCAAACACAGGGCAGTCCATATGGTAATTGTAGTGGGCAGAGTGGCACTGGCAGGATTTTCTCCTGGTACTTGGGTTTCCCCTTCCAATTCTCATTCAGGATAGCTTAGACGGCATAGCGATAGGCTGGACAGCTGAGGATTTTAGGTCTGATCCCAGGCAGGGGCAAGAGATTTTTGTATGATCCACAGTGTCCAGGCTGGCTATGGGGACCATCCAGCCTCCTATCCAATGGGTACTGAAGGTGAAGCTGCCAAGGTGTGAAACTAACCACTCACCTCCATATGGTGCTGAAGTTACAAATGCTCGAAGGTGTACCTCCACTTACCCATATGTCTTCACAGCCTGGTGCTTGATTAATTAGTACTACACAGTGCCTCAACGCAGAAGACTGCAACCAAACCCCTCACCATATTCATAACCTAAGATATACTTACAGAAGTGAATTTATTGTAGGCTTCAACGCTACTTTCAGGACTCAGACCATAACTAACACATAGAGACTTGAACTCTGCTTCGTCAATTGTGCCGTCTCCTGTAAACACAGTATAGTTTCAAGTACAGTTTTTACAGATTAGTATGTTGACATGTGTGCTAAAACATCTTCAAGGGTCCGTCATCATCATCAGATAGTGACAGATCATTATATCATCATTACAAAGTAGATTCTGTTTTCAACCTAAAGTGAGAACCAAAATCGCAGTACTGGAGATGTCGCTGAACACATGGGACTTTTCTTCAATAAAGTTGTCTACTCATGGTATGACTTAACCTCAAATATATTTTAGATTAAGTTTACACAGGAATTAGGCATGATCTGGTAGACAATTTATTCATGTTTGATGTGGAATTCTTTTCAGATGTTGAAAAACTTGAAAGTCATTAACATAACTGAAAAGACAAATATAAAATCAAGGAGAGATTTTTTATTTGTATTCATCGTTGCTATGGTTTATTTAATAGGAGCCGGGAAGTGTAGTCAATATAGCGACTGGCTATGGACTGGATGGCCAAGGGGTTGGAGTTCGAGTCCCAGTAGGTTTAAGGACTTTCTCTTCTTCATGTCATCTACACCAGCTCTGGGCTCCACCCAACCTCCTATCCTATGGGTATGGGGGCTCTTTCCCTGGGGCCAAAGCGGCAGGGGCGTGAAGCTGACCACTCACCTCCAGCTGGTGCCGAGATCAAGAGAATGTGGATCTATACATCTGCTCCCCCATACGTCTTCATGGCGTAGTGCTTAATTAGTTAAGCACTGGGAATTTACCTTTTTACCTATGGTTTATACGTATAATGGCGCTCTCATTACGTACTTCAGACTGCATAATGTTCAATGACGTGATAATTAGTGAATAACGAACTGGACAGCATGTAGAAGGAAGTGGCCATGGCCTAATTTGATGTATCAACATTTGCTAAAGAGACAAAATCCACGAAATACCTCAGAATAATTGGCGTCTTAGATTCGAACATGGATATTCTATGTACCACCTTCTTTGACATTAAGAAAATCCGCATTTTTACAGCATACTGTATTTATAGGTTTTACGCAAATGTAAGAATAAACAGATTTTTTCCTCAAACAGCATTAAACTGTAGGTCTCCAGAATGAAGACACTGCGCTCTGTGAGTGATAGGAATTACCATTTTGAACAATACTTAGATTAATTTCATGCTTGTTCCAAAAGATCTTGCTACTAGCTATCCACTGGCCCTCTCATGTATCTTGTTTCATCACTGCCGCATGAGGATACGCGATACAATTGCTAAATAAATAATTATGTATTAAGAAAAAGTGGTTTCTCCTAGTTCGTTATATTTTTTTTCCATATTTTGTTCTTTTAAAAAATAAATATTTATCAAAAAAAAATCATTAAATGTGAACTCATCAAAGTAAATCCTGCAAAATCCTCCCAAATAACATTTACAAGAAGAGCTGTCTGCCCGCAAGTTAGTATCAACAGCACCCTCATACCCATCAAGCAAGAAGTTAAGTATTTAGGACTCCACCTTGATGAGGAACTAACGTGGAGAAGGCATATAAAAGCTAAGAGAAGACAGTTAGAGCTCAAAACCAGAAATATGAATTGGCTAATCGACAAAAAATCACAGCTATCTCTTGAAAACAAAATAATCCTATACAAAACAATAATCAAACCAGTCTGGACCTACGGGATAGAGTTATGGGGATGCAGCAAACCTTCCAACACAAAAATTCTCCAAACTTCCCAATCCAAAACGCTAAGAAAACTAGTTAATGCTCTCTGGTACGTATCAAACGCTACCTTACACAATGATCTAAGCATACCATGTGTAACAGAAGTCATCAGAGCATACGCGGAGAAACACAAAAACCGGACCACTCAAAACAACAACCAACTAGATAGAATTGAAAGGTCCAGTGATTGAGACTAGCTCTTCCTAACGGGCCCAACAGAGTAGGTTTATCCTTCCCTACCCACCTGAAGACGGAGACAGATCCAGTCTCCGAAACGTCATGGTCTTTTTTCTTTTACATACCAGACGATGGATGAAGTCCAAAATAAGCCAAAAGAAGTAAAACAACCAACTAATAAGAAACCTCTTCAACCAACCAGCAATAGAAAGAAGACTAAATAGAACGTGGCCAGAGGATCTCATTAGATAAGCACCAGAGAATCATCGGAGGATGATACCTGCTTCAATATTACACACACCCATCCCTTTTACTAATTACTCTATTTATGTATATTGAGTAGATTGTAAAATATAAAAAAAAAGGTGAACTTAAGATCTATGTTGTTAATTTTATGGTTATGCCTTTTAATTTCCGCGCAGGAGTAATTCCATAACCCGTAATCTGTTAGTCCAGTGTCTAACTCTACTTTATTGCAACTACGTGTATATATATGAGGTTACATCATGCCTTGAGCAGGCAACCGTACGGTAGAAGAGTCATGTACAATCATTGAGTTCTCCGTTGTGACGATTATGTTCACAATTTTGTTAAAAACATAATCTATCAACTTTCTTCTTCTAACGTAACGACCTACGGCACTTACGATTATGACGAACCCTGAAAGACCTTTTAGGCAGGCAATATGACAGTTCAGAATATGCGCCAGGAACCATTGTATGCTTAGTAATTGTTGAAGTGAAGCAACTGAGATATGATGCCGTATAGTCCAACACTGACGTTTCGTAGGACCGTACTGCTTCCTTCTTCAGAATCGAAGAGTAAGCCAAGCAATCATTTTTCTCACTTTGCTTCCTTCTTGTTAGTTGTTTGCTTGGCTTACTCTTCGACCCTGAAGGGGGAGGCGGTACGGTCCTCTGAAACGTCGGTGAACTACTGTCGGACTACATGCGATAATATGGCATACAGCCAGTAAGTTATATGTTAGTGCACCGTGGCCTGTCTAGGTTATGTTTGGCTTACCTGAAGAATCCTCTAGGTCAAACATGAAATTCATGTAGCGGTTCTGCCAATCGAGCGCCTTGTCGGGATTCTTTGCGTAATCGTTCCACATGGATACCCACTCCTCGTGGCTCACCTGCAGCGACATGGCACGTGTTTACATCCCACTCTTGTGTCAACTCTTGGCGATCCGTAATATTAACGTATTAGCCCGAGTATGAGGTAAAAGGTAAAGCTATGCCTGCAACAGGCCGTGAAGGCCCATAGGATTGTGAGACGTCGAGGCTCCCAAATTTTCTAGACAATCGCCTCACAGATGTCGGTGAGGTTAAGTAAAGCTATGCCTGCAACAGACCTTGAAGGCCCATACGGTTGTGAGACTTCGAGGCTCCCATATTTCTAGACAATCGCCTCACAGATGTCGGTGAGGTTAACTAAAGCTACCCTTGTAACAGGCCGTGGAGGCCCATAGGGTTGTGAGACGTCGAGGCCCCCACATTTTCTAGACAATCGGCTCACAGATAGTGGTAAGGTTGTCAGCGTTTGCTCCGGCCTCCCTTTACCCGCCAGGAAGATTCCTGGTGCTCATTTCTGTTAGAGGCTGAGTCGACCCCCAGGGCCATAGTGCGGCTGGAAGGATTAGGTCAATTGAAAAAAATGAATAACCTCATCGGGAATCGAACCCGCATAGCGCCTCAACCATCTGCACTACCGCGTGCACACCTCCGCAGCCCGAATACAAGGCGAGTATCTGTTCATATACTGCTTCATAGAAAGTGAATTAAATACTTAGTTTATTATTTTTATTAGTAAAGATTTTACTGCAGGATTCAGGATAGCTCAGTCGGTATAGCGACTGACTACGGGCTGTACGACAGAAGTGTCGGAGTTCGAGTACCGTTAGGGTCAAGAATTTTCTTTTCTCCATGTCCAGACCGGCTTTGGGGTCCACCCAACCTCCTATCCATTGGGAACTGGAGCTCTTTCCCGCGGGTTAAAGCGACAGGGACGTGAAGCTGACCATTCGTCTCCAACTAGTGCTGAGGTCAAGAAAATGTGGATCTATACATGAACTCTCCCATACGCCTTCATGGCATAGTGCTTAATTAGCTAAGCACAGGTGCAACTTCACCTTTGCCTAGATTTTACTCATGTTTGCTACCAACCTTCGGAACTAAATGGTATATTCGATTTTCTCAAAACACTTCTCCTATTTTCCCCTCATTTTCTCATTGGAAAAAGTGTGTGTCACCTTATATTCTGTCCTGCACGGTATATAGCCCATGTATCGTGTATCACAAGTAATAAATACAACATTTTGAACTAAAAATTATGAAGAATTAGTGCTTTAAAAATCTAATTTAAACTGGTGGATAGATGAAAGTGGTTTATGGCAACTTTTAACTCTAATTTTTCTCCTACTCGAAGTAAAAAGCGCAGTTGCGAGCTCCTTACTTCTAAGGGGAATGTTAAGACGGGATTACTGCTCCGCGCCTGCGCCGACCGCCCATGTACCACGTAGTGCCGTAGTTTCCGGATGTTTGAGAAACACTGTTAGTCCTAGCAAGTTCTGACGCTGGCTCAGTGTCAATATTGAACTACTGTTGGTTCTTGGTACCTTGTGGATATGGGCAGTGTTTCCATAGTTTCCGAGGTATTTACTGCCTTCATCTTCAGGATCAATGTGACCAAGGTGAGTGAGTGTTCGTGTATATTGTGACATATAGACCCATTGCCAAGTAACAGCTGTGTAAACAGCGGCCGTAAAACAGCCGTCGCTAGGACACAGCTCTGTGGACACGTTTCCTCGGCAGCGAGAGAAGACGTAATAAGGCAAGATATGTTTTCTGTGCAGTCTGTGCTGGGGCTTTATAACGAGGACTAGTAATTTAGTTGTTGAATCGGTTGAAAGTTGCAGTTGTGAGAAGTGAGAAGCTGGTAGCTGAGATTGGGGACAGTTCGGGAACCCAGAGGAAGGGGAACGTTCACACTTGAAGCCACTACCAAGCAACGTCTATTGAAGACTGAGAAGACCTTTTGTGTGCTGTAGTTACAGTGATCTGTATGTGTAACTCAGTGACTCTGTTGTAGTGACTTGTAGTTACGTTCTGTAAGAGGACAATAAATCCGGTTACTAATCCAAACCCCGTCTATCATCACTCCATCACGTGACAACATATAGGTTTTATTGCAACAGACTTACGATGGGTAAGGTGGTTGTGAGGGGAGGCTGTTGCCTGATCAGGACGAAAGGGACAGTGTTGAAAGAGACGTTACCAAAGCTTCTGCCGCTTGATAATTTCTCCCACTCCACTGCCCTGCCCCACACATTCGTCTGTTTGTTGGATCGAAACCTATGTATATGCAAACACTCACAAATCCTACACACTCCGGTCCTGAAGATGGAGACAGCATGTACCTTCAAAACATCTGCAACATTGCCCACACCTACAAAAAACAAACAAAAACTCCGCGGCTTTAGTCCGCAAGCGAACTATACCGACCGAGCGACCGCCGCTTGTCGGCGAAGTTAGTAGCAACTTTAGCGGACAGAGGGAGTCGCGTGGTCAGCGCAACGGATCCCCACGGTCGTATCTCGGTTTTCTAGACCGGAGCCGCTATCTCCTTGAAATAGCTCCTCAATTATCATCACGAGGCTGAGTGAACCCCATTCCAGACCCACTACTTATCAGAAAATCTAGTAGCGCCGGGAATCGAAACCAGGACCTCTGAGTTCTAACCAGGAACTCTGACCACTAGACCACAGTGGCGGTCGCCCACATGTACACGGTACACAAATCAAAGAGCAGATTCAAGATCAAACAGAATAATGCATGCACAAGTAATGGAAACCCTAACCTTTCGTGAAGTCGTACAGTACACATTATACTAAAGGAATAACATAATGCAGTCAGTGGGCGAGATCATGATACTGGTGAGTCCACATTATAATAAAGCTCCTTTTGAAATCATAAATTTAAATTTAAGTCTCCAATTGCATATGTAGGCAAATGGGCACTGCACCAGTTTCCTTGATAAATCATAATATATGTCAGATTTGAGGTTTTCATGGCGGTGACTATGAAGAAAGCCGTCTTCTGGGATGTGACATCATGTAGATAGTATGTTAGCCGATGTTTCGGAGGAACGTATTGCCTCCATCTTTAGGGCAGAAGGTGCAACCCCCAAGCTTAAGTGTTAATGCCCTCCCATTAACCTAGCCTTTCTCCCCTGACACAATATTCTATACAACTTGTTTATTAAAACTGTCACAACACAACTATATCAAAGTCAGTGCCTAGTTCGGCTCTGCTACAACGACTCTCGTTGTTAACATTCCTTACAGAACGGACAATACTTCGTAAGATGAGGCACCGACTAAATAATTGACATTAATATTACTACATCTACATCACGAGCCTCCAATAACAATTTATTGTATATATATAGAATACTCCAATCTGTCCGTGGAAACGCTACAAAATCACAAAAACCAACGACTGACTCGATGATGTAAAGCGTCTATTGAAGAATTTTATTCTTGTTTTATACTATAACTTTTGTTTTATATAATCAAATTTGTTGTATTTTACACCAAGTATTGTAATATAATTAATATTATTGTATCCTGCTCTCTTCACAATCACAATATAATTCGTCTGAATTTGTAAATTTGAATAAAACACGAAATAAAATGTACACAAAAAAAACATTACCTCAGATCAATTACGTATCGCTGATTTTATACTTTAACCCCTTAAGTGCCAGATGTCGAATATATCGATGTTCACAAAAATTTCCACATCTTACAGCATCTGCCATCTGTTCACAGTTTATCTGAACCACATAGTCAAATATGTGGATCATCTTCTTAGGGAGTTTATACAATGAACCCATAGGTTTTGTAGTGATTTTACTAAGCACTGTAGAAAGCGGCCTCCGTAGTCTAGAGGTAACGTTCCCACCTCATGACTCGTGGTACGCGGGTTCAAAAACCCGGCGGAGGTCGTGGAATTTTTAAGGGCGGAAAAATTCAGGGATCAAGTCCTCCGGGAGGGACTATAAGCCGTGTCGTAGCTTTACGGCACGTAAAAGAACCTCATATCTCCAAAGGAGGTCACTGAGCCAAATTCAGGACATTTCCCGCCCAACAATAGTCATTAACGCCTCCGATAGATGGGGGAAGCATTATAGATACCGCCAAGCCAGTAGAGAACTCGCTGGCTCGGTCGGGACTGATGGTACGCACCAATATCGGTAGGGTATAGAAACTGGTAGAATATCATAGAGGGAAGCACAATGGACCAATACTGGTCTAAGTGCATGGGGAAACCCACCCTCTCTAATAACTAACTAACTAAGCACTGTAGAAAATAAACTTGAGAGTTCTACAGTTAATGAAACTTTGATCAAAATAAAATGTTTTCTTACCTGACCGTCTTGATTGGCATCAGCCTTCTGCCGCAGACCGTCCCACACTTTCAGCAGGATCTCTCTAGTTTCTGAGTACTTCGCATCTGAGTCTTTCCAGCCTCGTGCTTTGCGGATCCTCTGCGCATGTGCACATGTAACCAGAAGATCATGAACCTCAATATAACTATTATTGTTTCTGTCCATTCTTAATTTATAAATAGAGATCAGTAATTGTAATTAGTCGAAGCAGGGAATATATCTTTACAGAGGGGCTGAAACAAATGTATACACACCGTTCCACCGCCATTTTCTTCGACTGTCCTGTCATTCGATATGGTGGCTCTGGCATTCATGTGATTAGCACCATCTTTTGAGAGAATATCTCACTACACAACTTACATTACATTTCGCTTCAACTTTGTGGTTGTGTCCGTATACTTTTTGACCCCTCTATATATACCAGAAGCCGAAACGTCGCGAGTTCGATTCCCGATGTCATTGGATTTTTCAATTAACCTAATCCTTCCAGCCGCACCATGGACCTCGGGTCGACTAATCCTCTAAGAGAAAAGAGCCCTCCACTGGTCCCTATCCTGAGCCAGATCAATCCAATCAATACCATCCCATCCTATCTCTCTAAGATCCATTTTATTATTGTCCACCCACCTACGCCTTGGTCTTCCCTGTGGTCTCTTTCCTTTTGGCTTTCCCACCAATATCCTATACGCATTTCTCGTCTCCCACATTCGTGCTACATGCCCTACCCACCTCATCCTCCTTGACTTGATCATTCTAATTGTACTTGGAGAAGAGTACAAGCTATGAAGCTCCTCATTATGCAGTTTTCTCCAACCTCCTGTCACTTCATCTTTCTTCAGTCCAAATTTTCTCAACACCCTGTTCTCAAATATCCCCAGTCTATGTTCCTCCCTTAATGTCAGAGACGAAGTTTCACACCCATACAGAACCACAGGCAAAATTATAGTTTTGTATATTCTAATTTTTATGTTTTTGGACAGCAGACGGGAAGACAAAAGTTTCTGGACTGAATGGTAGCAAGCATTACCCGAATTCAGTCTCCACTTAATTTCCTCCTGAATCAGGTTTCGATCTGTTATCTTTGTTCTGAAATATCTGAATTGTGCCTCATTTTCAAAACATCTGTTTCCTATCTTTATATCATGATTTTGCCCTGCATTTTGTGACTTGACAGTAACATATACTTAGTTTTCTCTGTGTTTACTTCTAGACCAACCTCCTTACTTGCGTCAATTAAAGTTTATGTGTTTTTCTTTATGGTATCTACATTATCACCCAGTAGATTCACGTCATCGACATAGACCAACAGCTGATGTGTCCCGTTTAATTTCAGTCCCACCTGGTTTCCTGGACCTTCCTAATTGCATATTCTAAGGCAAAGTTGAAAAGGAGTGGCGATAAAGCATCTCCTTATTTTAGACCATTCTGGATAGGAAATTTATCAGACAAAGGTTTACCTACACGGACTGTACTATGCGTTTCGTTTAAACACATTTTAATCAACCTTTCATGGGTATCCCAAACTCTATCATAATATTGTAGAACACTTCCCTCCTAACTGAATCATAGGCTTTCTTGAAGTCTATGAATACCTGATGTACTGTCTCATTGTACTCCCATTATTTTTCCAATATCTGACTCATGCAAAAGATCTGATCAGTTAAGTCGAAACCCACACAGATAATCCCCAATAATTTCATCTATATATGGACTTAACCTTGAAAGAAGAATATTGAACAAAATTTTACACGAAGTTGATAGCAGTGATATCCCCCGATCATTGCTACAGTCAGTTTTATCACCCGTCTTGTGAACTTATATCATAATAGACTCCTTCCACAGATTAGGCAATTTTTTGTTATACCAAATAGAAGTAATTAGATTGTGAATCTTAGAATGTGATATTTCACCTCCTGCTTGAATAAATTCTGCCGGAATTTGATTACTACCTGGCGATTTATATCGTTCCAATTTTGCAACAGCACTTTCAACCTCAAACGGGCTAGGATCAGGTATTAACGGCTCAGCTGTATGTATTTCTGTCTGCCTAACATCACTGACCCTACCTACTTTCAATAACTGAGAGTAGTTCCTCCACCTATTCAAAATGTTGTGGGAATCTGCAAGCAGATCACCATTCTCATCCTTCACTAAGTTACTGCTAGGCTGGTAACCCCTCTTAAAGTCATTTATTCCTCTATACAAGTCTCTAACGTTCTTGTTCTTACTGTTCATTGCAAACTCATCAATGTTGTCTTTCAGATATTCCCCCTTTTGTTCCTGAAATGCCTGCTGGTTTCGCGTCTTATATTGTTCAGATTATCCCCATTTAACTCGCTTGGATCCTGTAACCATTGCAATTTGGCCTGCTTTCTTTGATCTAATAATTTTGAGCATCCTTCATCGAACCATGGCTTATGCTTCTCCGGTTCATAATAACCTAGACTTTCTTTGGCAGACATTTTTATATTATCTAATAGTTTCCCAAGCTTTATTAATATCCACCTCAGTTTCCAAGTTTTCCAAAGCCGCAAGAAGCCGGAAGGTCGCGGGTTCAAGTCCCAATGAGGTCATTGGATTTTTTTCAACTGACCTATTCCTTCCAGCCACACTATGACCCTGGGGTCGACTCAGCTTCTAACAGAAATGAGTACCAGGAATTGATTACATAATTTTCCTGGGGAGTAAAGCGCTGCCGGCGCGTAAGGCTGATAACCTTACCGCCAACTTTGAGCTGATTGTCTCGATAATGTGGGACCCTCAACGTCTCACAACCTTATGGGCCTTCACGGCCTGTTACAGGGACAGCTTTACTTTTTTACTTTTACTTTGCAAACATATTTGAGATATCAACACAATACTGCTCTTTACCCTCTAACTCATTTAATTTCTTGATATTGAACCTCTCCATATGAACTCTGTGTGTTATTTGCTCACTGCCAGTCTTTCTCTAACCTTTGCCACCACCAGGTAATTGTGAGAACCATACGAAACACACAAAAGCACTGTGTGGGCAGAATGCAGAGTTCAGTTGGTACCTCACAGGAAGCACATTACATCTCCGCTACAAAGCCCAACCGGTTAATGCTGTTTAGGGAAACAGTCGCTGTTTACTGCGAGAACCATACGGAACACACAAATACACTGAGTGGGCAGAATGCAGAGTTCAGTCCGTACCTCACAGGAAACACATTACATCTCCGCTACAAAGCCCAACCGGTTAATGCTGTTTAGGGAAACAGTAGCTGTTTATTGTGAGAACCATACGGAACACACAAATACACTGTGTGGGCAGAATGCAGAGTTCAGTCCGTACCTCACAGGAAACACATTACATCTCCGCTACAAAGCCCAACCGGTTAATGCTGTTTAGGGAAACAGTAGCTGTTTATTGTGAGAACCATACGGAACACACAAATACACGTACACAAGGTGGGAAGAATAAGGAGTTTTAGTACGTTAAAGCAGGTGCTACATTAGTAATCACTGGGCTTTAAATGGTTAAATACAGTATATTTAGACACATTTTATCCACGCCTCATTTTGCCGAGCAGCCTCTGCACTCGTCTCACAGCCAGTAGGAAGCTCGGGTCATGCAGTACCATGGCAACGTTTTCCATTTGCTTCACGAATCCAGAGAACGATATACGTTAATATTTACTTTTTTTCCCGTAATTGACGTGTACTTCAGTTAATCAATAAGGCAACAGGGCATGCGTTAGAGGAATGTTAAGGAACTCCTATATTGTCTTGTTTGCCGCGCTACTGGCCAGAAGGCAGTGCGCATCAGGAAGCTCCTGCGGCTGGGGTTCTTCACGCAAGTTTCCTTGGGTTTCCTCTGTCTTCAAGCAAGTGCTTAGATGTAGGATTTGAGGTTCTCACACCGGTGGTTATAACAGCTCTATCTTCCGGTACATAAGACCGGCAAGTCTCTTGAAAGTCAACCGACGTATCAGAGGAATATGTTACTTCCATCTTCAGAGTCGAATAATAAATTAAGCAAGAAATCAATTTTCGTGAAGCAAATAGACAGCAGAGTTGCTTGTTATCCGCTTCACATTGATTTCTTACTTGTCCACATGTTTCTCCGAAACGTCGCTTGACATTCAATGGACTATACGGCGTTATACCCCAGAACACAGGACTCTTTAAATACTGAGATGGTTCCCAAGTTTCCAGCTGCTACTGCCTGCTTCTCGTGCAGCCACTCCTAATTTAAATTAATGAAAATTAAACCCTGTGGTCCATAAATTAGCTTTCCAAATTATGAAATTTACGTGTGATTTAGAAAATAAAAATTCTGCTACCCCTCTCTCAAGCCACCGCTTCTAACCATCCTAAGGCCTTCACTTTCACACTGCCCTTATCAGAAGGACGAGCAGTCGAAGCCTCGGATCATTCTAAAAAATAAGGCTCTTTCTCCCACCCCACAATAATTCTTCCTCACTTCTATTATTTTCCCATTTCACCTACGCTTCTACCACGACTGTGCAATTGTAAAAAACATTATTGTCAAGGGGGTTTCAAGAATGGGCGCCAGCAGGGAGGTAAATCAGATTATTGGAGCAATAATCAGAGTCGAAACAAATAGGGAAAACGTATAAAATAATGTCACGTGTAGGATGGTACGCGTTACGAAATGACGGGTTCTATTTCGGATGATTGGATTTATTAGCAACTCGGTTACAACATATTTTAATTACATTGACTACAGCGCTATCGCTGATTTACACGATTTACAGTTCGTCGTTGCACACGCACTAGGATTCTCTGTTTCCACTAGTCGTCTCCTAGCAACGGATCTCAACACAGACACTGTCACTTCAAATCACTATGAAGTCTTCTTGTCTTAAATCACGTTGTACTCCTCTATCCTAATCTGTACTCAACTAATCTTCAGAATTCACTAAGGACATGCTTCATTCTTGGTTTTCTAGACCAGAGCCGCTATTTCCTTGAAATAGCTCCTGAAGTATCCTCACGAGACTGTGCGGACCCTCTTCCAGACCCACTACTTCTTAGAAAATCTGGTAGCGCCGGGAATGAAACCCAGGACCTCTGGATCTGTAGCCAGGAACTGTGACCACTAGACCACAGAG